CCTTGAAATCTGATGTCCAAAGAGGTTTTGCGTGAGTTACAAGATTCTTCACCTGCTTGCTGAGATAATTTACAAAAGTTTCATCACCAGTTCTTGGTTGACCAAATGTTACTAGCTTTATTCTGTTACCATCTGCTAATTCAGAAGCAACAATGTGGGAAGCTGCTAATGACGCCAATGAACCGCCAAGCGAATGTCCAGTTATCTATAAAATGCATGTTCTCCATGGGCTCCTTTTTTCAAAAAGTACTCGTCGAGCTCCATATCAAAACGAACTCACCCATATCATGTATTCAGGGTATTTTTCTAAAAGTTCCCGCAGATGCTCATGCATTCCATGGCTCCAGATTGCGTGAAAAGCGTCATAAAAGTATTTCCCCACTTGTCCCAAATATTTGTTACCTACGTACCATCTCCACTGAAGAATTAGCAAACATTATCGTTATCCTCGCTTAGCCAATCAGCATATTACTAAAAACTCACCCTTTTCAATCCCAAAGTTATTCTAGTTATCTCCAAAAGCTGCAGCTTTGTTTTAGTGCCTCTGCAATAGTTTTGATTCGTTCAAACTATTTCCCATCGTAATTCACAAGTTATTTTGCTTCATAAACCTATACCAATCTGTAACATTTTAGCTTCAAAGCTATACAAGAAAACAGCTCAGAACCCACCTAAAGCTTAGAACAATCGCCTTTTGAGAGGGAAGCACAGCAGTATAACCGGAACAAGTGTTCCTATCGTCGCATTTCACAGTCACATTTCTAATCTGGATGAGTTAAATATTTTGCTTATTCCTAATGTTGAAAGTAAGCAGCTGAATAGTACCGTGTTCGCTTCCGAGGCAACCTTGCCAACGCAATCTTTCGGATTTTCTGAGTATGCTGCAGCACTTAGAGGAAAGATCTTGTTACGAGCAAAATCATCTGTGTATCCCCATTGTGCATACGTTGCGATGATACCGGAGAGGAAGACGAGAGTGATCATTCCAAATTATTATTATTATAGAACAAATTATTATAGAAGATTTAAGATACTTGCAGAATGGTCTAGAAATGTTGGTCAGTCATATTTGTAAGGAAAAAATCATAATACAAAATGGTTAAAGAATTTCTACGCTTACAAGTGCCTAGCTTTCATTCTCATCCCTTTATATACATTCACAAATGTCACGTACATTTTCTGGTTCTTAGCACTCCACATGAGCTTAGCATTGTAAAAAATAGTCTTACTAATCACTAGACATTTACATTTTTTTAATCGTTGATTGTTGGCCCGTGCAGAGCTAATGATAAAAACATGTTTCCAAAAACGCGATCTCCTACTGTCGCGTAGCTAATGTCTGCTAGAAAATCGATTGAGCTTCCTTGAATTTCTTTTCGCTTGAGAAGAACTGACAATTTGAACTCAAAACGGGAGCTATATTAACCCTTACTACGGTACACCCATACACCAGATGTGATAGGGAGGTTATGTGGTGTACAAATTAAAGCTTCTATATACCCTTACATAAATATGGCTACATTTGCTCGGTTTCTCGATACCAACATATTATCGATGTATATAATTTCAGTACAACTATATAATCACTGGGTGGTTTATCATACATGTTAGTAAACACACATGTGAACAGCAAATGTTGCTCCATTCCTATGTTTCATAAAGCTCACTTTGAACTGCTTCAAGCAATTTATAGGACATATCTTCAAAAATAGCTTGGCGGGACCCTGGCAACGCACCGTTAGTGTTTAGGGAGAAGTCCTTTACTGCCTGTACAGCATGTAAGAGGAAAATAAGTCCAGCGCACTGGATCACATCTACGGCGTCGGGTGTCATTGCCTAGCTTTCATTCTTATCCCTTTATATACATTTACAAATGTTACGTACATTTTCTGGTTCTTATCACTCCACAAGAGTTTAGCACCGCAAAAAAATAATCTTACAAATCACTAGACGTTTAGATTTTTTTAAATCGTTGATTGTGTCGGCCTGTGCAGCTAATGATAATAACATATTTCCAAAAACGCGATCTCCTACTGTCACGTAGCTAACGTCTGCAAAAAAATCGATTGAGCTTTCTTGAATTTCTTTTCGCTTGAGAAGAGCTGACATTTCAACTCAAAACCCGTCCAGGGAGTTATATTAACCCTTATGCTACGGTACAGCCATACACCAGATGTGATAAGGAAATTATGTGGTGTACAAATTAACGCTATATACCCGTACATGACCGTGGCTACATTTGCTCAGTGTCTTGATACCAACATATTCTCGATGTATATAACTTTAGTATAACTATTTAATCACTGGGTGGTTTATCATACATGTTAATAAACACACACGTGAACAGCGAATGTTGCTCCATTCCTATGTTTCTTAAAG